ATAATAATAATAATAATAATAATAATAATAATAATAATAATAATAATAATAATGACAGTAAATCAATAAAAGAAGATACGATTCCCATCTCCAATTACACCCACAAATACCTTCCTTTTCTTTTCTTTTCCTTATTTATCCTTTTATCTTTGTTTCTTTCTCTTTCTTTTTATTTAGTCTTCAGGCTCCACAGGAAGTTGACGTGAGAAGTGTTCCCGTTCTCGTCTATCCGCCTCATAATCAAAGTGTTCAATAGGAATACTCTTTGAATATCCCATCTCCTTTGCATCTTTCCCTAATTCCCGCAATTCAAAGGAAATCAAATCATGTACATCCACATGTGTATTGGAATTCTCCTGAAAATAAGATTCCCTCATAAGTTTTAAAAGTGTTTCCCGTGATGGTCGTTTCCCTTTTCCAAACTTAATATCATTATTATCCATAGATTGTAATGATTTCCGTATACCTGTACTTGCAGAAATACCAAAATGATAATTTAATGGAAGATCCACATTATCAATTTCTCCACATAATGTATCCACATATGTTTTCTCTACACGATAGGTAGGTGTATTTCGTCCATGTGGGGTATTTCCCTTTTCATCTATTTGATCCACCGTCTCTACTCTTACAATTCGTCGACGACTGACATTTTCACGTGTGAGGATTACTGTTAATCGACGTTTATAATAACGGACGAGAAGTTCAACAGGATCTTCTGGTGTTTTTAGTAATAATTCCTCCTGTCCAGCCGCCGTTTTCCATCGTCCATCCCGTTGATTCTCTTTTTCTTGTTGTTTTTGTTGTTTTTCTTGTTGTTTATTTTCTTCTGGAGTTTGTATGCCCATCTGCACAGCGCGTTGGGTGGGGTATTGTCGAAAATCATATCGGCATTGCAGTCGCACTGGTGAGGCTCGAAAGTCTTCTTGCCGTGGATTGAAATTATTTAAAGATCCTTTTTCTTCTTTAGATGGGAGATTTAATAATAACATGATTTGCGGCTCATGTGCCTTATGTTCTTTTTCTTGTTTATTATTATTCTTATTATTATTCTTATTATTCTTATTATTATTAGAAGTCTTTTCTTCTTTTTCTTCTTCCTCATCTTCACGATGGCCCACAGAGTCGAGGAGAATTCCAAATCCCTTAAAGTCCGAGTACTTCAATCCAAATATACGCGGCTCCAAATTACTATCATCTACAGAAGTGCCGCGTTTGAAGATACGGCGGTACATTTCTTCCCGTTCGTGTTGTCGGGCCTCACGGGCCATTCGACGTTGTTCTCGTAATGTTTCCCGCACAGTTTTAGTGTTATTTCCTTGACTGCTGTTATTATTATTATTATTATTATTATTATTATCTTCCTCATCTTCTTCATCCTCTTCTTCTTCTTCTTCATTTTCCATATTAAGAAGAAGATCCGCCACTCGAGATGGATCTCGTCTAATAGCTTCCTCCTCTGCGGCATCGGGATCAATGGGTTTACTATACTTTGGTACATGTTGATGATCATCTCCTAATGGCTGTTCCAAATACCATAATGCCATTCCTTCTCCTCCTTGATATTTCTTCTCTTCATTTTCCCATTTATTATTATTATTATTATTATTATTATTATTATTATTATTATTATTTTCTTCTCCTTGTTTTTGTTTCCCTGCCTTCTCTTCCATAGTCTTTGCACGTACAATGGGAAGAGGTGGACGAATCGAAAAACGTAATCGCACCTCCCAGGCTTTATGATCACAGGGAGCTGTATTAAATGCAAATCCATGATCCCCAATATTATTTGTGGTGAGTCGAATAAACTTTTCATTCGCAACAGCAGAGCCGCCAATCATAAAGTGCGGCACTCCTTCTTCCCACCAGTCGGTTACGATAGGAGCAGCAAAGGAGTGTTCATGCATAAGTGGACCACGAATAAGACCAGGCGGGAGATCTTGATATTGGCGTTGTTTATCAGTATTGGGAGTCGCCCCAGCAACAGGTTGAATAGTGAAGATAAAGATAAAGAGAAGGAAATAGGAATAATAACCACAACAAGAGAGGGAAATGAAAGAAGAAGAAGAAGAAGAAGAAAAGGTGGAACGCATCCACGTAGGGCTTTGCCTCTTTGTCATTTGGTTTAAATGAATGGATCGGTGTACTTTTTTTTTTTCTTTGTTTTTTTTTTTTTTTCTCTTCTCTTTCTTTCTTTGTTGTTTGACCTTTCCTTGTATGTATTTGCTATTTTTTTGAGTATGATTTTTTTTTTTTTTAATATGTGTGTTTCTATTCCTTACCACAGCTGTAAAGTCTTATATATATATATAGACAACAAAAGGAGAGAAAGAGAAGAAACAGAAAATACTGAAAAAAAAACATATATAGATATGTACAGTGAAGTATATTTCTCTCTTTCTCTCTCTCTCTATATATATATCCGTTGTATACCCGCAACCAAGCAGGCCATATTTGCAAATAATAAAAAAAAAACACAGAGAACATGTATTCACAGACTCACAAACACACACAGAAAAACAAACAAAAAACAACAAGATCAACATCAATACAGATGAGTCAATTATTAAACCAAATAGGTGTGGGTTATCTCTACTAGCTATTGCAAGCCAAAGTGAGAGAACAAGGTGCCTTTTGCAGATACATAGACACATTAAGAAGTTACAATAGGGGAAATAAACAAACAAAGAAACAAGAAACACCATTTAAATATATCTCTCTCAATCGTTTTCAAAAGCTCACACACATATACACTTACATATACTTACATGTATATGTATATGTTTATATATAAATATATATAAATATTTGTAAACATATAATAAATAAATAAATAAATATATATATATATATATATTCCATAGAAACTACTGCTTCTCTTTTTCTTTCCTTTTTCACTCCGTACTTAGTGTAACTTCCTCATGGCGGTGTGGACTCTCAAGATACTCACGTGATCGCATCTCAATAAGACGTGAGATACACCGTTCCATTTGAAAAGAGGCATCTGTATGATCCATCAATCGTTTCCCTGTTTCCCGTTCATATTCGGTAAGTTTAGCTGTACTTAACGCGGCTGCCACACTTGCATCTAATGTTTGATGTGCTGCCTCATATTCCTCTTTACTCTCCTGTAATAACATTGTTTCCACCTCTGCATAGACTACTACCTTGCAGCGATACTCATAAAGGGCATCAATTAAAAGAAGAAAACGATTTTTAATATCACTACTTTCATATGTGAAACGTGGTACACCTTCAATAAATACAGTATGAAAGGTTTTAGCAATTACTTCATAATCAGCACTAGACATGGCACCACCGCAGATATCTGCAAAATGAAAACGACAAACATCTCCACAAGCTGCTGGAATACGAATATCACGACCAAATACACGTAATTTCCTTTCCACTGTTGGCATACCTTTACAAACTTGTAGAAAAAGATCCGCAAACTTTTTATCATTCTCTGTATTAATAGGAGAAAGATATGTCTGGGCATCACTTCCACTAAGACGATGATCGGTTTCACTACGCATATTATACACGATAGATTGTCGTTTTACCAATTCGATAAAAGGAAGGAAACTCTCACGATTAAGTCCACCAAGGTATAAATCATCTGGTGGACGATTGGAAGTGAATATCACAACAAGACCAATCTTATAGAAGGCATTAAAAAGACGACGCATAATCATTGCATGAGCGACATCAGAGACGGCCACTTCATCAAAACATAATAATTCAACATCACTAATAAGTCGTTGGGCTACTTCATCAAAAAGATCAATAGATGCTTCAGGTGTACGTCGTTTCTGTAATTGACCATCTCGATCTGTTTTATTCTTTGAGGAATATTGTATATCATGAGATGTCCGTTGTACATCTAACATAAAATGATGAAAATGTACACGTTGTTTCTTAATACCTGAGGGTGCGTTATTATATAGTAAATCCATCAACATTGTTTTCCCACATCCCACACCTCCGTAAACATATAAACCTTTTACACGAGAGAGTGGATGATAGGCGGAGTTACCATTATTATCATTTTCCTCTAATGCACGTTTTACTTTTTCTTCTTGTTCACGACGAAGAAAAAATGATGGAACAATACCAAGACGATTGGGAGGTCGTAATTCCACTTTACGTGGTTTAGATCTTCCATCACTACGAAGATAGGTCTCAAGATCATTATAGAGGCGATCAAACACGGGTAATGCAGTTACTTGTCGTTCATCTCGTGATATTGTACCAGAGAGAACAAGTCGATCATATGCTGTGGATGGCTTACAGCTACAGAATCGCACAGCCGATATGCGGCGGAACATTTTTATCTTTTTTTTATTTTCTAATCTGTCTAGGAAAAAATCCCCCCTTTTTTTTTTCTTTCAAAAAAAAAAAAAAAAGGAAATAACTTCAGGTATAATAGGCGGTACACTCTCTCTCTCTCTCTCTCACACACACACACACAAGTGTGAGAGAGAGAAAGTGATATACAGAAAACAAAAAAGACACCAAACACAAATAAAAAATAAAAAATGAGAAAATCTGAGTGTATTTGTAGACATTACCACTCAGAAATATGTATTTTTTTTCTTTCTTTCTTTCTTTCGTTCTTTCACTAACTATCAATAATAAAAAAAAATAAAATCAAATATAAAGTCTACATTGAAATTAGAGACCTCTTGAAGAAGGGATAGAAACAAAAATTAGGAGGAGAGGAAAAGACATGGGGAGAAAGAAAAAGGACTGCGCAGTCCGGGAATCGAACCCGGGCCTCCCGCGTGGCAGGCGAGAATTCTACCACTAGACCAACTGCGCTTGTGATGAACCACATTAATAATTATCATTTCTGAAATAAAAGGGGGGTTTTCCTTTTCACTCAGAATTAAAAGGGAGGGGAGGGAGAAAAGGGATGCCGCCACCCGGGATCGAACCAGGGACCTTCAGATCTTCAGTCTGACGCTCTCCCAACTGAGCTATAGCGGCTACGATGAATGACCCTCATCATCATGGTATTTAATCCCTTTTTTTTTTTATTCTTTCTTTTCAAATTAATTGTGATGATTCATTTTGGTGTCCATCTCATTTCTTTGGAAGAAGAAAATAATAATAATTTAATACAGTTTTATAATATTATATTTACATATACAATTAGAGAGGGAGAGACATTCATTCTTTTTTTTTTTTCTTTTTTTTTTTTTACAAAATAACACACAGACATAAAAATAACTCTACGTAAAGGGGTGAAAATAAAATAATAATAAAAAAAAAGAAAACAAAAATAAAACAAGTTCATTCACCATATATATATATTATAGGATTAATTCATCCAACCTTCACCAAGACATACAGTAAAATCTGAGAGTATTCGGAAAAGATCTACTATCGTACCATCATCAAGATCTCTCCCATCATCTCGAACGTTATGCCATGAATACGGGAATGGATTTGGAATAACATGTAATACCCGTTGTGTTTCCATCCAGTGTATATGATCATCCTCTATTCCAAAACGATTCCCTAACGTTGGACCTTGTGCTGATATTTCCGATAAAGGAAAGAAAATATTATTATTAATGATACTAGGAGTCTTGGATGACAACTTCCCTTCTTCAACTGTAAACATCCCATGCGGTGATCCTTGACGACACCAAAGCTCTGGTACCTCCTTTGGACATTCACTTCCCGAAGTACTTGTAAAACTCATGGAAGTCTGTAAATGATGAAGAAGATTTTGTAATTCTTCTGCCCGTTTACGATGTGAATACTCTACATTAGCTAATAAAGAAAACGCTAAACCACTTTGATCAGGAAAATAATTATGAAATTGTGTACGTGCCGTTCCCATAAGATCATATAATACAAAGAGATCAATAGAATCAAAACGTGAAGAAGTGGATAATCTATTAGAGGTTAATGTTGTTTTCCATTCTTGAGCTAAATGACGAGAACCGTATGTATGATCTGTACCACTCCAAGAAACAAAAGCTTCCTCACCATCAAATAAAATCACAGATATCGCAGGAAGATTCCTCACGAGATTTAACAAACGTAACCAATTCCCACCATTCTTAAAGAATGAATGGGATTCACTTTCTGATTTTCCTGTTCCTGATGTCTCTGAAGAGATAGAAAGACATCTTAAGGTATCCTCATCATCGGCATAGTAATAACGTAAAAGATTTAGATAGGTAGGAGAAAGAGATTTAGACATTTGTAAACATATTTCTTCTTCATTATTATCATTATTATTATTATTATCCGATCCTTCTCTTATCGCTGCATTTATAATATTAACAGTATCTGATAATACCGTAATAAGTTGCATAGTTTCCAGAAGAAATACAAGAGGAACAACAGAATCACAGGCACCTAAAAAGTTAATATTAGCATAATACTTACTATCCCAATGAGCTGAGAGAACAACATGTCGAAGTTTCTCATCACCAAGTTTTTTTCCACCTATCGCAGCAAATGAGGATCGTTGTTTTGAATTTTTTTTCTTTCCTTTCCCTATATTTTTATTATTATCATTCTGCTTCTGGAATGCAGGACCCCCATTAAAATGAAAAACAAGATTAGAGAAATTTCGAGTTCCAAATGGGGTATCACTCGTAAAGTTATCCCATTCCAACTCCCAATAGGATGCCGGTAGTAGTGAAGTAATAGTAATATTATTATTATTATTATTATTATTATTATTATTATTAGTAGTAGTAGTAGTAGTAGTAGTAGTAGTAGTAATATTAACAGCAGCAAGAGCAGAAGGAGTAAAGAGTTTATTCCGTGGTGATTGCCAAAGACCCTCGGAAGTGAGAAAATTAAGTGTTTTCAGTTGTCCAGATGAAAAGGAACCGGCCACACGAGTACCAAAACTTAAAATCGTATTAACTTTACTCATGAGTTTCACTCGATATTCTTCAGGTGAAAGTAAAAAGGCAAGGGCGGATAAAATCTCTGTTTTCTCTGTAGATGAGGTATTCTCATCATGATTAAAACCCCCATTACTATTACTATTATCATTATCATAATAATAAGAAGAATAATAATGAGATTCATCTTTTCGTTTAGATGTTTGGAGTCCTCGAGCTACACGTCCACACATACCAGTCCCTGAAAAGATATCAGCCTTATGTGAAGCCGAATCTTTTTTCTTTCCTGCCAATAAAACTAATAATACGATTAATCCTATTAGAACTACAAATCCCGATATAACTATTCCAATAATAATCTTATTGTTTGGTTTGCAATTGCGCTTAGGTACTTCATTTGTATGATTTACCAGTTTCTGTTTGGCGGGTTTTCCTTTTCTTTTACCACTATTACTATTACTCCCATTACTATTACTACTACTATTACTACTATTACTATTACTGCTGTTAGGAATAATTTCACGATTACGCATCTTTTTTTTTTTTCACCCTCCACTATTTCACAATCTCTAATGGGTATTTTATCACTATTGCCTCCAGGTCTGTATTGTAGTGTGTGAATACGGAAATATTTATTATTATTAATAATATTATTACCCACTTTATGTTACTATGAGATAATTAAGAAAAAGAGAGATGGAGAGAGAGAGAGAGAAAGAAAGAGATTTTCAAAAAAAGAGAAAAAGAACAGAGAGAGAGAAAAAAAAAAAAACACAGAAATGTCTTCTTTATCTTGAGTATTTATTTAATTTTACTTTTATTTTTTCGTCTCTCTTATTTCAAATCACCAAAGCACGGGAAATGAAACCACATTCAACCATATATATATATATACAATTTCCCACACTTCACCCTCTTCCTCTCTTTTGCAGTATCAATGGATTCACACATTATTTCTATTTTTATTCTCCTGCTTCCAAGAACTGGTGTCATTGATCTCTGATCTATCGTGCACAGGTAAAAAAGAAATGATAAGAAGAAACAAAACAAATCAAAAAAAAAAAGAAGTCAATGTACCTCAAAGACATACCACTATATATATATATATATGTCTGGGGTAAAAAAAAAAGAGTACATACAAATTTCTCTTATACATATACAATAATAGCAACAACATTCAAGAAACAAAGAGAGTATATATATATATATATACCTATTCTTGTTATTTCTCTCTTGACCTCACAACTCCTCATTTCCAGCAGTTGCTGTGGATCCCACTCCCAATTCCTCAAACACACTGTAAATAAACTCCGCCACCTCATCTGGTTCCTTCAACCCAAGTGCTGGAATAGACTGATACACATTATTACTTTTCCCTTCTGCCGTATTTCTTCCCATTCCCGTTCCCGTTCCTGTTGTTGGGGTTGGACTGACTCTTGCTATTCCCGCTGCCTCTGATGATAATAATGCCGGCGGGACTGTTGTGTTAAATCGTCTCCAGATTGTTTGCGATGGGGAATCCATCATACTCGTTTCTACTATCGCAGAAGAAATAGACTCACGTCCTAAACGTCTTCCGGCGGCATTCTTTACACGTTTCATGGCGGCCGCATTTCGTCTCCAATATTCCCGAACTAATAATACCAATTTCTCTTGTTTTTCAATATTATTACGAATATCATCAATAGCGGCCCGTACGTTTGTAATCTCTGCCAGGCGTTGTTCCTTCTGTTGTTGTAATACCTCTAACATCTGTACAAGTTCTTCATTTAAGAGAAGATCATCCACATCTCGTATTTTTGCCTGAGAGTTTTGATGTATTGTGCTTGAGTTAAGTTTCATCACCTGTGCATCTCGTTGCACCAGTAATTGAGCCCGTTGAGCTTCTAAACTAATATTCGTTTGTAATAAACGTGCGGTCTCCGCCTGTTGTTTACGTAATTCCTCTCGTAATTTCTCCACTTCTTCTTCTGTTTTTTCTTTTGAAATGGCGAAGTGGGCGGTATCTTCTGTTAATGCGGCGAGTAAAGTGGCGAGATGATCGGGATTTGGTTGACGGCCGTGAATACTGCGAGAGACATCATTTGGGGGAAGAACCACCGGGGGACGTTTGACAAGAGAACTGCGACGATACAATAATGTAGTTTGTTTAGGTGCTGCTGGAGAAGAAACGGGAGTATCGGCATTCATTTTATTATTATTATTATTATTATTATTATTATTNTATATATATATATATATACCTATTCTTGTTATTTCTCTCTTGACCTCACAACTCCTCATTTCCAGCAGTTGCTGTGGATCCCACTCCCAATTCCTCAAACACACTGTAAATAAACTCCGCCACCTCATCTGGTTCCTTCAACCCAAGTGCTGGAATAGACTGATACACATTATTACTTTTCCCTTCTGCCGTATTTCTTCCCATTCCCGTTCCCGTTCCTGTTGTTGGGGTTGGACTGACTCTTGCTATTCCCGCTGCCTCTGATGATAATAATGCCGGCGGGACTGTTGTGTTAAATCGTCTCCAGATTGTTTGCGATGGGGAATCCATCATACTCGTTTCTACTATCGCAGAAGAAATAGACTCACGTCCTAAACGTCTTCCGGCGGCATTCTTTACACGTTTCATGGCGGCCGCATTTCGTCTCCAATATTCCCGAACTAATAATACCAATTTCTCTTGTTTTTCAATATTATTACGAATATCATCAATAGCGGCCCGTACGTTTGTAATCTCTGCCAGGCGTTGTTCCTTCTGTTGTTGTAATACCTCTAACATCTGTACAAGTTCTTCATTTAAGAGAAGATCATCCACATCTCGTATTTTTGCCTGAGAGTTTTGATGTATTGTGCTTGAGTTAAGTTTCATCACCTGTGCATCTCGTTGCACCAGTAATTGAGCCCGTTGAGCTTCTAAACTAATATTCGTTTGTAATAAACGTGCGGTCTCCGCCTGTTGTTTACGTAATTCCTCTCGTAATTTCTCCACTTCTTCTTCTGTTTTTTCTTTTGAAATGGCGAAGTGGGCGGTATCTTCTGTTAATGCGGCGAGTAAAGTGGCGAGATGATCGGGATTTGGTTGACGGCCGTGAATACTGCGAGAGACATCATTTGGGGGAAGAACCACCGGGGGACGTTTGACAAGAGAACTGCGACGATACAATAATGTAGTTTGTTTAGGTGCTGCTGGAGAAGAAACGGGAGTATCGGCATTCATTTTATTATTATTATTATTATTATTATTATTATTATTATTATTGGTTTTCTTGTTTTTATCCTCATCCTTATTCTTTGGGCTCTTATTATTATTATTACTATCACTCCTACTCGTCGTACTACTGGGAATAAGTTTGAGTATATCTTTTTCCTTTTCCTGCGGTGTATCTGATAGTTGTTGTTGTTGTTGTTGTTGTTGGGATTCCTTTCGGTCAAGAGCGGGGAGTTTTAAGGTGTTGACATCAGAACTTTTAATAATATTGGCCTCTACACTAAAGTGGGATTCATCTTGTAAGGAGAATGAATTTAATTCTTCCTTCTTATTATTATTATTCTTATCATTATTCTTATTCTTTGCGGATGTAGATAATAATAATGATGCTGATGATAATGGAGGTAACAGCACAGAAGGTGTTTCTTCTATTATTACTGTTGTCGTCGTCGTGCTTGAAAGTAGATTCGACTCTTTTCCTTCTTTTCCCTCTTTTTCTCCTTTTTCTTTTTCTTCTTCTTCTTGTTGACGTTGTTTGGGAAATGATTGTAATTGTTGTTGTCGTCTCTGTTGTCGCTTTAACATTCGTCTTTTCACCATCCATCGAAGTTCCTTTTGTAATTCCTGTTCCTCCTGTAAAAGTTGCACTTCATCCTCAGGAAGTTCATCCACAGTATAATTACTATTACTATTCGTAGTAGTAGTAGTAGTAGTAGTAGTAGTAGTCGTATTTGTATTAATAGATGAAGTGGTGGTATTCAAATTGTGTAGATGTTTATTATTATTATTATTATTATTATTATTATTATTATTATTAGTTTGCCTATTTCTTCTATGAGAAGAAGTACGTGTATGTCCTAATAAACGTTGTTGAATTTCCCACGTCACCGCATCTCCTACTTTTCCCACTAAACTTTCCATTGCAGTTCTTATATGTTGTAACGTCTGATCTCTTCTGGTGGTTTCTTTATTAATATCCCGATCTGCACGTAAACGAAGGGCCGCACGGTGTTCCTGCAATCGTGTGAGTGTTGCCAAGACTTCATCTCGTTCTCCACGTAAAGTCCAATTTTCTGCTAATCGTACTCGTTCTAATAATGCCTCTTCCATTTCTTGTAAAGCCAACTTATATGCATGGGAGGCGGATTGAAAAGTGGAAACCCATCCTTCTACAGAAAGACGTAAATGTCGACGGATGAGTTGTAATTGTTGAAGAAGGGAAAGTAACTTTTTACGTTCTTTTTCATTTACTGTACGGGTTTGAACAATTCCTTTATGTTGTTTTTGTAAATCCATCTGCATATTGCCTTCACATTCTTCTTCTATATGTTTGGCAGTGGTTTCCATTTCCGTGGATTTATCTTTAAACCATTGGGCTACATACGGGAAAGCACGTCCAGTGGCTACTGTTAAATACAAAGATTTCGTCATGGGATTGATCTCTACAAGATTTGAAGTGGTTTGATGAATACTAGCCGTACCTGTTCTTTTTAGTTCATTCGGGTCATCATCTTTAGTAAAGGTTAATGTCGTTGGACGATCAGCCATCGTTCTTTTTTTTTTTCTTTTTTCTTTTTCTCTTTTTTAAAAAAATAATTTGTTTCTTCAGTTCTATCTCTAGTAATATATATATAAATAAATATATATATATAAATATATATTTACATACAACTCTATTGAAATGGTTTTTATCCTTTCTAGATCCCAATATATATATGGCCAGAATATAATGAAAATGAGTATAATAGGAAGAGAAAGAGAAAAAAAAAATAAACATTTTATTCAGATATATATTGTAATGCATATTCTTTACTCATTTATGCTATGTAACACTTATATCCATATCCATATATATATATATATATATATATTTACTCTTTCATACAAACCAAATAAAAAAAAAAAAGAGAAAAACACTGAACTTCTAGAAGACATTGAAGAGACTTATAATAAGCCTTCCTTTTTTTACACAATATATATATCTATTAAATTGATACGATGTGTCGTTAATTACTTACACTCATAGGTCTATTTATTTGATCAATACACGTAGGAGAACAATAACAACAACAACAACAAAAGATTGATCAACGCACAAGAGACAGAGCATAAAAGAGATCGTACACACGCAAAGAGAGAGAGAGAGAGAGTTTCATTATCATGAAATATTAACATTGGTAACGCAAAGAAAACAAAAAAAAAGAAAAAAAAGTAAAAATAATAATAGTAGAGAGAAAAGCAAACAAACAAACAAACAAACAAACAAAAAAAGACATCACATCATTTTCTTACTTGTTCCACATAAAATTTTCGTTTTTTTTTTTTTAGACGTAACGATTTTCTCTTTCTCTTTGCACCTCCTTTTTCCTCCTTCCTTACTAATACTGCATATATATATATATATATTCTCTTACTTCATACATATACATAGATAAGTACAAGACTTTTTTTTTTTACGACCATATCCACTTTTTAAACAAAACAGCAGAAAAGAGAAAGAAACTTGCAGCAATTGCGGTATCTAATGTCTTTAGACTGACGCGAAGTATCACCGTATTACCCAGACGGATACGAATGAAAGAATCATCCACAGCAGATGTCTGTACTGGCGCAGTAGTCGTAGTAGTCGTCGTAGTCGTAGGAGAAGTACTCTCTACTTGTTGTTGTTGTGGTGGTTCTTTTTCTTTATTTGTGGTATGGGTAACAGCCTTATTTGATCCATTATTGTCCCTTACAGTTTCTCTTACCGTTGTTGTTGTTGTTGATGATGATGATGATAGTAGCTGTGGTGAGAACTCAGCGGCTTCACTATTCCTATTATTATGATTATTATGCGGTGTGGGATGTTCTCGTCTTCGTAGGGTCATTTGTGTGGGGGAGAGTTGACTTTTCTCTTGCTGATTTCCCATTTCCCCGTTTAATTTCACTTCCGTATCTTCTTCTTCCTTCTTTTCCTTTTCTTCTTCCTCTTCTTCTTTTCCTCTTGTTATTACCTTATCTTCCTCCTCCTCTTCTTCCCTCCCCTTCTTCTCCTTCTCCTTCTCCTCCATTTCTCCTTCTTCCTTCTTTTCCTTCTCTTCCTCCCCCTCCCCCTCTTTCTCTTTATTATCATTATTATCATTATTATCTTCCTCCTCCTTCTCTCTCTCCTCCTTCTCCTCCTTCTCCTCATTATTATTATTATTATTATTATTATTATTATTCCTCTTCTCCTTCTCCTCCTCCTCTGGTGTAGTCCTTGGCAGTTTGGGCACACTCGCCTCCACCTCTGGGGAGACTGGGGGGAATCCCCGCATCTCCGCCGCCCACACCTCCTCCGCCCGCCGCATCCCACACACCCCGCACGTAAAGTTCCGACTCGCCGCCGCCAACCGCCGCTTCTCCTCCGCACTCACATACCGGCCCATCAGGGCCCCCACCCCAACATCTTCATCCTGCGCCATAAAGGCCCGTAGGGCAATTAACACCAACGCAATATCATAGGAGGGCTGCCATAACTCGGGATGGAAACTACTCACACTTGAGCAAATACGGGTTTCCACCTCAAATCGACCACTTTGGGTTAGGAAGAGAATATCTGGTGGGGAAAAGGGATAATTGCGGGGAAATCGCAGGATTCCATGATAAAGACCACCTGCATAGACAGAGTCCGCAGGCCCCATAAGAGTGAAATGCCATTCAAAGAGATTATCGGGTAAAGGAGCAGCATAGAAATCACACACACGAGCCGCATCGATTTTTTTCTTTTCTTTAGATAAACGTTGAATGGCAGCTGCAGCGACACTCATTT